CTCATCCAGACCATCAAAGATGAACAACACTTTATACTCTTCACTAGATATTTCCATTTCTTTAGTTTCAGGGAAAAAGAAATTAAGAAGAACTGAAAGATTGGGTTTCTCTGCGTCGCTGTTCCCTCATACAGACACGCAAACTTCTTCATCAGATTTGATCTAAATGTTTTGAGGGCTTCATTGCTGTAAAATAAAAAATTCACATTATTGCTTGAGTTAATAAGCCCAATGTCTCATATATTCTGGATCATATCTTCAAATCATATCTTTTACAGAAATGTTATACCTGAGAGCAGGCCGTGTATCTCCACTCTTGAATTGTTCTTGACAAACCATAGATGCGTCACTCTTCATAGACACACAGCTGGGCTCTGCTTCTGTTCTCTTCTTGATGAACTGAGCTAAACAGAGAGAGATTACATTTCAACCTTTAAATTACTGTATGCAAATTATTGTATATAAAGAGAACTTTGTAATCAGTTCATACACGGTTTATACAAAAATAGTGAACTGAACTGTGATAATATTTGATACTGTAAAATGTCATGCTATTATCATATTGTTATACAAACGTTATACCTGAGATCAGGCTGTGTATCTCCACTGTTAAACTTCATTGGTTCAGGCATAGACCAGTCACTCTTCATAGACACACAGCTGGACTCTGCTTCTGATCTCTTCTGATGAACTAGACTAAACAGAGAGAGATTAAATTTCATCCTTTAAATTACTGTATGCAAATGATTGTATGTAAGGAGCACTTTGTAATTAGTTCATTCACTGTTTATACAAAAATATGAACTGAACTGTGATAATATGTGTTACAGGACCGATGAGAGGCGTGTGGATCCATATGCAGGGCTTTTATTTAAAGGCGTGGTCATGAAACAGATGAGGGTCAGACAACAACACAGGCAAGACAAAGAGTATCCTAGGGCAAGCGTGGGTCTTCGATCGGCGAACGTTATCCAGAGGGCTTGAGAAGAGGGGAAATCCAGAAACACGAGCAATAGTCCAGGCAAGGTGCAAACAGAGTCCGAACAGGGCGAGACAAGAGGGTAATCCGAAAGACACAGGCAAGAATCAGAACACAGAAAAAAACAGGCAAGGCAGGACTATGACTAGATATCAAACTAGAACAGGCTCCGTAGAGTAGCTAGGAGAGGGATATGCGCTTACAATACTCAGCCTTGAATGGTGGTGTGAGACTGATTTATATAGTGTGTGTTATTGGTAGCAGCTGTGTGTGTAATCAGTGCAATGGATGATGGGAAATGTAGTCCGGGATGACATGCAACAGTTTGTGTAGTGTGAGAGTCAACGTAACGGAAGGGTGACCCCTGGTGGCAATTGGACGGAAGTCCATGGACAGGATTCCTGACAATATGATAATGTAAAATGTCATGCTATAATCATATTTTATACAAACGTTATACCTGAGATCAGGCTGTGTATCTCCACTGTTAAACATTATTGGCTCAAGCATAGACCAGTCACTCTTCATAGACACACAGCTGGGCTCTGCTTCTGATCTCTTCTGATAAACTGAGCTAAAACAGAATGGTCTTTTTGTTTTCAATGAATATTAAGCTTATAAAAACCATACACAAAATAAACTTGTTTTATAACATAAAATGTTAATGTGTTACTCAAAGTACCTTCTGTCTGTTTAAAATGGCTAAACATCACCTCTGTTCATTTACAGTCACTTTTATACCATTCTCATCACAAGGACACTAAATGATATTCAGCAAATGTGATGTGACATTACAGTCATTGTCTCATATTTTCTTGAACCGTTAAAGTGTCAGTTGGAAATATGCATATGTAAATTGTATTCAAAGGAGGTTATGCATAATAAACTAGGTAATAATAAATCTGGTTATTTCACAATCTTCTGCAGGATTTATTTGTGCCTATGCAAAATCTGCCTTCTCTGCACAGGCACACTTTAAGGATGAAATCTATGCAAAGTTTTATACATACATACATACATACATATACACACACACACACACACACATATATATATACATATATTTGTGAGGCCCCTGCTGCATGCTTGTATACAGCTTTATAGTGTCATTAACTACAGAAAATCCAGTGTCAAGCTGTGTGTTTCTGTGTTTGAGATTGTTTCTAGGAGTCTGCGTACAGTTCGTATAGCTGGAGTCTGACCCGAAAGGAGACATTTTCTTTCCTGTGTGTCTGTGTGAAGTGTAAGATAATTATGAGCTGCAACTGAACACTAGTGTACTTTACTCACATGTAGCTCTACTGCAGTTTAAGAGCATTTAACTGGTTTTCATTGTGAAGTACAGCAGCTCAACATAGTGAAACATGGAAAGAATGAGCAGAAATGATTCATGAATATGTTCTTACTGCTTTTGATATTTCTATTTACTTTAATAAATATTATTTGCTGTAATAGTCAATAACTGGTGATTGAAACCACTGCAGAAAGATGTTCATCTTCAGAACCAGTTAAACCACAACCATTTCAGGAAAACAAATGAAACCGGTTTGACTCTGTGCTGAAACACTGTTTACAGCTGGAGGGGTTTCCAGAAAGCAGCTTTATGTCTCTGAATCATGTTTCAGGGTTACTTTACTTCAGATAAACGTGTCTCTAAACTTGATGATTTCAGCACAAGCATGAAAGCACAGGTTATGTGTGAATTCATTATAAATCATTATTATGGTATAAAGCTATTCAGTCCTACTTTTCCAAGATCTAAATTCATAAGTGAACAAACTATGCATTTATGAATACCTTTCGTACTCGTAATTTTCTATATTTGGGAGTTTCTTGTATTTCTGTAACTCTGTTGTTTGACACTTACTGTACAGTGAACTAAAGTAAAAGAGTTAATGAAGAAGAAATGCTGCTGATTTCATTGAATGAGTCTGTTATAGAGTTGACCATATAGACACAATATTTAATCAAAACTGTCTGCTGATGCTGAGTGATAGTTTCTCTCTCAAAGAGTTAAGAGCGCATGACAAATACTGTTTGAGAATCACATACACACTGATGATAAAATGAGAAACATGGTGATTTCACACCATGTGACAACAGTATCAGAATCTGCAGCTTTCTGTGATTCACTGACAAATACACACTTGATCATCTGTTTGATCACGACATGAAGAGCTTTAAATAAAACCATCAAAACAACTTCAGCACAGCATTAAAGTACAAAGTGACCAATGACACATCATAAGATGGCACTCATACATGAAAACAACTAGAGAAAGATGAAACACTCACCTCAGTGTTTGAACATAACTTCAGCACAGCATTAAAGTACAAAGTGACCAATGACACATCATAAGACGACACTCATACATGAAAACAACTAGAGAAAGATGAAACACTCACCTCAGTGTTTGTACATCTGTCTTTGTCTTCCTCTGAAGTGTTGTGCTGAACAGCAGCTCTGAAATTTCTGCATCTTCTACCAGGAAGAGTTAATCGTGAGAATGAGAAGAATGACAGTCAGTCAGCTAAACTCTCATCTGCTGTTATTCAGTCAGGTCAAACGAAAGATTCATTGTCAGGAAACGCTGCTGAACTCAGAAGTTGCTTTACAGGTTTGTGAACATGCTTTGAATGTTGAAAGTGTGTCTAGTGTCAGTCCAAGATATGTATAGTGTTGTGTCATCTTTGATTGGACAGTGATGGGTTTCCACATTAAAAGGTGAATTCAGTGCAAAACAAGTCAGCCCCGGGCCCGTATGCAAAAAAAATGTATACGGGCCCCCCCAAACGTTATGGGCTCCCATCTCGGTTAACTTAACTTAGGTTATTGTTGATTTTCTTGAAGTAAATAACGTTACATGACTATTCACAAGCTGTTTTATTTACGGTATAAATGCTTGGAAATATTTAACGTTTTCAAGTCTATTCATCATTTGTTAATTATAACAGTTAAACAAATCAATATTAATTGACTTAATATTGCAATAATCCTATAAAAAAATAAAAAGTCTGTATTTAGTAATAATAATAATTATTATTATTATTATAAATACTGACTTTTTATTTTACAGTGGAACAGGGTTAATGTAGTAACTTATCATTTAAATAATAAAATATATCTAATTAATATTTTGGTTAATATTAAATACCCACTTGTTTATTTTACAGTATGATAGGATTACTGCAATTATA